CTTCTCGACAAGTTACTCGGGATTCGCATCGAGCGTGGCACTGATATGGTCAATGCGGCCGGGAAGGTGCGCAACATCAGCAAGCAGGTCTTTGAGATCAGCACACTGGATCCCGATAAACTCGCACTTGCTGTACTTCTTCGCTCGCTATCCCCCGAGCTTCGCTCCATCCGTGAGAAATACGAGGACGATGATCTTGTGACACCGGCTGACATTGTCAAGTCGCTGGAGAAGGAGAAACTTCGATGGGAGGAGGAGACGAAACAGGTTTCAACTAAGGAGCGTGCAAATGCTGCTCGTGCCCAGAAGCCTCAGTCGGGAAAGGCAGGCAGCGGCACCAGGGGTCTATGTGGAACTTGCAATGGGCTGCATCGCACCGATGACTGCTGGGCCAAGGGCGGCGCAATGGAAGGACGCCGTGAGGAGGTACTCGAGCGGAGGGCGGCGCGACGCAGTGCAAAGCAGCTTGACAAGCCCTCGACCACACCCACAGCTCCTGCGGCTACCAAACCAGCTGCCAAACCTCGATTCACGATGAAGGACTCCAGTGGTAACACCGTATATTTTATGATGGCAGAGGACGAGCCACAGATTGCCGCTTCTGTGTTCACACAGGTCACCTCTAATGCAGAGCTTGAAGAACTTTATTCGACATACCATGCTTGTCGAGGCTCGGATGCATCGTCCGAATATTCCATGGCCGCATTCACTTACCCCTTGTTCGCCAACATGACCTTCCTCAATAATGCGGCTATTACTAAGGAAGACAAGATGGCACTTGCTGCTGCAAGACTCGATCCTTATGCGGCAGATACTGGAGCTACCGTTTCCATTTCTCCTTTCAAAGCTGATTTCTATACTTTGGAGATCATTGCTCCCATCAAGATCTATGGTGTTGGTGGCACCTTCATCGAAGCCACAGCAAAGGGCGAGGTTCACATACGCCAGGAAAACGGCACCATCTTTATCATTGCCGACGTCTATTTCGTTCCAGAGGCGTCCATGCGCTTGATGTCTGTTGGATGTGTTACCGATCACAACTACACTGCCGTCTTTACTCACAAGGAAATGTTCATTGTGGCCTCGGGTGAGACTACTGTGGACAGTGTCGCTCTTACAGCCCATCGTCGCAACAAGAAGCTTTACTTCCTGGATGGGACCATTGTTCAGCCAAAGAATATTCCAGTACCCGTCCAGGCCGCCTCTGCACTTGCTGCCGCATCCGATGCAGCTTCAGTCGAACACACACTTGCCAGTATTGCAAACCTTGAAGTCTGGCACCGTCGTCTTGGCCATATTGGTATCCCTACAATTCGCAAAATGGCTGAACGTGGGCTAGCGAAAGGTATGCCTGTTGACCTATCCCAACTACCCCCCAAATGCAAACATTGTATCTTTGGAAAGCAGACTCGCACCTCTGTACCAAAGACTAGGACACACACAAGGTCAACAAGGAAACTTGGGGTGGTGTATGTTGATTTGATGGGGCCAGAAGCAGTGCAATCCTCTAGACAGAATCTTTACTCTATGGAACTGGTCGATGAATATACAGATATGACCTGGTGTGTTGTGCTGCGAACTAAAGACCAAGCATTCCGTGAGCTAAAGCGCTGGGAGAATGAGTGTCGTCTAGAGAGTGGAGAGGAAGTGGGGATTTACCACATTGATGGTGGAGAACTGAAGAGTGACCAAATGAGAGCATGGCTTGCAAATCATGGAACAAAATTACAGACCACCGCACCTTACACCTCACATTGGCATGGTGGAACAGCGTCATCAGACTGTTTTTGAATTGGCATGAACAATGTGCTCTGCCTGCAACCTTCCACCAAATCTGTGGGATTATTTTGTTGAGACAGCAGTATATATCATTCAATGACGCCCAACAACTTACCAAAACAGGCAGACACCGTACGAGGCATGGTATGAGGAAAAACCAGACCTCTCCAACCTTCGTGAGATAGGGTGCCAGGCTTTTGTCCTGATTCAAAATAAGCACAATCCCAAAATATTCAAGTGTGGGATAGAATGCCAGCTCATCGGCTACTCACATACCTCCAAGGCATATATCTGCTACGACAAACTCTCCCGGCGTGTCCCCACATCTTACCATGTTGAATTCATAGAATCACACCAGACTGTTCCAACGCCATTACATCCAGGGCGGGTGGTGAACAAGGACACAGAGGATACCATCAACCAGCGTATACAGATTGAAGATGATGATGATGATGACGATGAGGAGTCTTTGGAGATGCCAGAGGATCACCCAGTGCCTCCCCCACTTGATGTTGAGCCCAATGCACAGCGACGTAGCACCCGGACACCCGCAGAATCAGCTGAGGAGCGAACTCGCCGTGCAGTAGCAGAATCCAAGGCTGCTGGTGAATGTGTCAAAGCAGATCGAAAAGCAAGAAAACAGGAACGTAAACTGAATGATGATACTGCCCAATCTCTAGTCGATGGCATGATTCTTGATTCACAAGCTGCTGAGGACTTGGAGATAAACCTGGAATACCTGGATGACCCACAGTCAGCTGCAGAAGCACTCAGTAGCCCAAATGCAGACAAATGGCTCACTGCAATAAAGGATGAATTAAAGTCCATTGACGACATGGGTGTATACATACTAGTCCAATGATCCTCTGTCCCGAAAGGGCGCAAGATTATGCGTGGAAAATTTGTGTTCAAAACCAAACATGATTTTGCAGGATTGGTGTCACGGTACAAAGCGCGCTTCGTTCTCCTGGGTCACAGAATGATATATGGCAAAGACTTCAACAAGACAACATCCCCCACAGCACGTGCTGAGTCGCTTCGTATCCTATTCCACATTGCAGCTGCATTGGATTTTGAGTTAACTCAGATCGATGTCAAGACAGCATACCTATATGGTGACATTGACAAGCCTACATGGATGGAACAGCCAAAAGGTTTTGAGGTGCCAGGAAAAGAGGACTGGGTATGGGAGCTACACAAAGGATTATATGGCATGAAACAAGGTGGACGACTGTGGAACAAACACATGGATGCTCGCATGAAAACTCTTGGCTTCACACAGCTCAGTGTTGAACACTGCATCTACTATCGCAGACGCGACTCAGGTGTGGTATTTGCTGCTGTACATGTCGACAATTTCACAGTTGCTGCAAGCAGCATTGAGGAGGAACGCAGATTTGAGGAGGAGTTGAATGCAGAATGGAAGATATCGAGGGATGATGCTCACTTCATTGTTGGATGGGCAATCCACAGAGACAGGCAGAAATGCACTGTTTACCTCTCCCAGAAGGCACTCATTGACAAGATCGTGTCAGAATTTAACTGCAAAGATGCGAATCCGCTCAGAACACCTCTTCCCCCAAACACCAGACTCACCAAACGAGACCTCCCACAATCTGAGGAGGAGGGACGACGAGCTGCAAAGCAGCCCTATTGACGACTTGTGAGAGTACTCATGTATCTTGCCATTTCAACTCGACCCGACATCATGCACACTGTTAGCTCCCTAAGCTGTTTCAACAGTGGACACAGCGAAACTCACTGGAAAGCAGCGATCCACGTGGTGAAATACCTGAAAGGAACGAGGGAATATGAGCTCGAGCTAGGTGGTGATAGCACTGCACGACTCACAGGCTATTCTGATTCAGACTATGCCAACTGCCCGGACACAAGACGTTCTGTCTCTGGGTACTGTTTCGATCTAGGATCTGGACTGGTATCCTGGATGTCAAAGAAACAGACCACTACTGCTACTTCCTCAACGGAAGCCGAGTACATGGCAGCAGCGCAGGCAACCAAAGAAGCTGTCTGGATGCGAAATGTTTTGCATGGTCTGCACCTCAAACAAGAAGATCCCTCAGTCATTTTCATCGACAATAGAGGAGCTCGAATACTCACTGAAGACCCGTCTTTCCATCAACGTGCAAAACACATTGAGGTCCAACATCATTACAGCCGTGAATGCAGCGAACGTGGGCTTGTGCATTTTGTTGACATCCCCACGAAGGACAACCTTGCGGACATCTTCACCAAGGCTTTGCCAGCATCGACATTTGAACGGTTCAGGGACCTCGCCGGCCTGAAGCTGTCTCCGAATTGAGCCTGAAGCTGTCTCCAAATTGAGGAGGAGTGTTGGAAGCAGCAGAACCTGCACCGCAATCTCGGAGATCAGCTGTCTTCGGGATTGATCGGGCCGCAGCCTTCTAAGAAGAAGACACGCTTAAATTAAGGCTTTCCTCAGTACCGCTACGACATTACTGAGGTGAGCCTTGGATTTGATTTGGACAGTACATGGACTCATATTTATATAGAATATAGTATATTGACTTGTATCCAGGTACTGTCCCCAGTACCGCTACGACGTTACTGAGAATATAGTATATTGACTTGTATCCAGTTTCTAACAGAAACAAGTCAAAAGAAGTTCCTTGACTTATTAATTGGCTGCATGTTTCCCTTACGGTTTTTCAGGGCGAAACTAGCCAATGAACGTTCTAATTCCTTAGAATGTTCACCCATTTCTCTGTGGTTCGCCCAACAGCTACCAGTAACCAGTACTGTTGCATAGAAACAACAGTTTCAGCAATGAGCATGATCAGAAACACACAAAATTACGTGTATCTAACCATGGCCCAATTACTGGCTTATCACCGCCTTTACCAGACTAAGGATGGCTTTGTGAGCTTTTTTCTGACTGTGAGACGCATGCATGTAACACACTTGGTGTTTGCATGCCTCGCTGGTTTCCCCCAGTGTAATCTAACAGTGTTTTTGGCTGGGATAATGTTTCTGGGCACTTGAATCCAATGACAGCTTCCAAAATCTCAATTTTTACATTGAGTCAGTTGTCTGCGCCAATATTGGTGGTTGGTTTACAATTGTATTTCAGGTGGTTGAGCTTCAACCTGACTTGACTTGACTTGATTTAACATTGGTGGCCAGGCTGAAATATGACTCAAATATCATAGTCAACTCATTCAAGGACACAAAAAGAAGCAAAAGGCAGGAAAGTGCATGGTGCACGTTGGGTTCTAATGCTTGGCAAAGACTGTGATCTAATCTGCATCCAATATCCCTTGTTCAACTCGGGGTCTTGCCGTCATCCAAAATAGCTCGGATTTTTTTGGGGCATTACTGGGAGGACCCGAAATCCATTGGCAACTTGCAAAGTCTCAACTTGTACATCAAGTCAGCAGCTGTGGTCCGCTGAAACGGTGCACTTCTTATATGACTAGGAATAGCTAATTGATAGCTATTGCGAACAAACACCTAAAACAACCAACTACAACCAATCTACTTCCAAAGATCCAAGTGCTTCTCTTTGTGAGTTCGGGTCCGGGCCGTAGTATGCGACCAGCAGGTTTGAACAAACACAAGTTTGATTTATAAGCTTCTAACAACACACTCTACAATGTACTAGCAATATGCAACCGCCAACAACAACACTGCTAGGAACCTAGGGATGATCCGGGGGTGTGTTTATATGGGGTGGATACAAGATGGCTGGACTGCTGGGTCGAGAACACCAGGGCAGAGTTTGTAGGTTTGTGAGAATCCTCACCTTAGGCAACCTAAGGACTACTGAGGCTAACTCCAAATGACTTTAAGTCTCAAACGGCAAGACTCTCCTTGACCGCCGACCTATTCCTTAACCAAGAACAGGAACCTTTCCACTTTTATCGGCACTAGCTCACTACAAGCGTCCAGCTAGTGACCCAACACACTACGACAGAGCTTCCGTCTTTATCGGGGTGAAGGCAAAGTAACTGACAAGTTATAGCCAAACTAGAGGTGGGGGCACCTAGTCTGTCTTCTTCTTAGTGGGCTCAAGCCAACACACAATCTACCTAGCAAGCGATCCAACACACTATGACAGAGCTTCTGTCTTGTCGGGGTGAAGGCAAAGTCACTAGTGCAAACTGCAGCTGGGTCTCAAAGAGAACACCCTTGTTTTATATGTGGAGGTCTAGGACCAACAACACGAAACCCTCAACTTAGTCACTCAATGTTTCCAGAGTCCATAGTTTACTGATTCCAATATAAAGACTACTACAAGTGAAGTTCAGTATCAACCTCCACTAGCAGCCTGAGTCCACTAGCACCAGCTTCATCCAAAGTCTGGGGCGTAATGTTCTTAGACTCTAGTCTGTTCTGCACTCCCTTTTATACTACTAGGTTCAAATTACATGTGAAAAGAGAGCTGAATAATACAATAAGCAATATTAGATGATAAGAAATATGGTCAGCCAATGAGACGACTGCCATTTGGTTTTGGGACTGGTTTGGTATATGCCAGGTCAGCCTTGCTGACTGGCTAGTGTTCAACCGTGGGTATATCAACTGATCCTCAGCCCTCCGTCTATGCTGAGCACCACTTCCAGACCAACCAGTGATGTAGCCAGTGGTCCAGGTCATCTCTACTCTGTCAGAGTGTTGATCTATTACATCTAGGCGACGCAGTGTTGGGACCGACATCAAATGGTCATAGCCTGTTGGTCAGAACGTCAATCAGACCTCCGGTCATCGGTACAGCCTGTATGATTGTCCCTAGCTCTGTTCCAATAGCCTGCTTGCTATTCCCTTCATCCTAGCTGCCCAGATCGGGCACTAGCCTCGTGTTGCCTCATCTCTTATGTAGGGGTATGTCTTTGTCAAAGCCCTAGCTGGTCGCTAGTCGGGTTGTTCCGTGCCGTCTAGTCGCTTATCTAGAGATTAGATAGTACCACCGGTTACCGTCCTGAGCTTCCTAGCTCAAGGCGTAGTCCCCTAGCTGCACTTCCATCATAGATATCCATCTGCTAGACCCTTGCTAGCTCCATCTCAAGTAATCTCTGGACTACTAGAGTCTCCTAGGTCATGTCTCATGAATGTATAGGCAGTGGTTTAATCCCTGGTTGTTTGTACACTTAGCTAGCAGCTAGCATGTCACACTAGTGTAGCCTCGTGCTACAGTCAGCAGTTAGGGCTCACTCTGACTCTCTTTTATCTCACCTAACAAGTGGTCTGCGTACTAGCTAGGATGCTAGTAACAACAGAAGTGCTAGTTGCTTCCCGTTGTATAAATACTGGTCATAGGAAATCACAAAATTAGCCCTAGATGCCGTGCATTTATGTTATGCCATTTCACCGCACTAAGATCGGTTTTTGGTTTACAACGGTATTTCAAGTGGTTCGACTTCAGCTTCAACTTTAACTTGATTTGACTTGATGTTGCCTCACTGGATAGGTATCATAGTCAACTCAATATTCAAAGATGACAACAAAACAAAAAGGAGAAGGCAAGGAAGCACAGGGTGCACATCAGGTGCTGAAATGAAGATGACCACGGCCTTTACTTGGGAGATGGCAGTTGACCCTCCCTCACAAACACGCAGGGGATTCATTCGAAAACTACTAGGTAATAGAGAGCTTGCGCAAAAGCTGCATGCAGCTTTGGGGTGCACAAACTCACTGCATGGGGCTTTTATTTTATTTTGCTCTGGTGGTCAGAGGGTGCTATTCAACACTCCTGGTGATGCTCCGGAGCAAAAAAAAAAAATAGTACTGTGTGTGGCTTTTGCACAAGCTCTCTAATATACATAACTCGTCAGGAACTAATATAACTAAGAAAGGAGAGAATTAGAACAACTGAAGTGTAAGTAAGGTACAAGGGGAGGAAATACGACACTGGACACAATAAATGCAAGAGGAACAAGAAGACATTGCCTTGATATGCCAGGTGGTGGCGGCAGTGACAGCGAGTGACGGACTCGAATTCTAACATCGGGTTCAAATTCTGCTGCTGTGTCCTTCCATCCTGATATTCCTTGTTCGACTCGAGGTCTTGCCAGGCAAAGGATCTGGAATCCCTTTTTTCCCATTTATTGCCAACTCGAAGGTTGAAGTATGTGAGTAAGGAAAGGACGGAACAAGAAGTAAAAGGCAAGGAGGTGCAGGGTGCGCATCAGGTTTGAATGTGTTGCAACCAGAGCCCCTCATCCTGATATCTCTTGTTCGACTTGAGGTCTTGCTGTTAGAGATGATGAAATCTTTTTTTCCCCAAGGGCTTGAAATCTGATGGTAACTCTCAAGATCTCAGCTTGTGCATCGGGTTGGTTGTGTTGTTCGTCGATGGTGGACACTGGTTGTTGGTTTGCAAGCTTATTTATTTGGCTTCAACTTCAACCTGACTTGATGTTGCAGTGGCTGCACTAAAACACCTCCAGGAACAAGGACACAACAACAAAGAAAATGGCAAGAAAGCGCACGGTGCACATCGGACCACAATAAATGGATAGAATGTGATAGCACTTAAATTCATCCTGATAATCCCCTGTTTGACTCGGGGTCTTGCCATACAGACTATACAGTCAATTGTACTCGATTTTTTCGCCCTGTCCTCTAGACCTAAATTATGAAACGGGTAAGAAAAGGCGAGGAGGCGCAGGGCACGCGTGTTGAGTTTCGCCGCATATAGCAACCAACAAACCTTGTTTAGTCACCTTCAACTTCAACTTCAACTTGACCTGACGTGATTTGATGTTGCAGCAGCATCACCCAGACAACTTGAAGAATGAGAAAACCGGTAAGAAAAGGCAAGCAAGGCAAGGAGGTGCATGGTGCACGTCGGGATTGAGTGATATTAATATGTAGCAGAAGTTCAACCAGAAATCCCTCGTTCAACTCAGGGTCTTGCCGTTGTTTGGAATGGATTGGATTTTTTTCTTGGTTTTCTTTTGACCATTCCGAAGGGCTCGAAATTTAATACCCTCAAGATCTCAGCTTATACATTGAGTATCCTGTGCTGTTCATTTGGCTGCCATTCATTTACCTTGAACTTCAACCCAACTTGCCATGGTATTGCTGTGGCCTCGCTGAAGTACCAGATCCATTCAAAGTCCGATAAGAAAAGGCAAGGAGGCGCATGGTGTGCGTCGGGTTTAAGTAGAAGAAGTAGGATAATGTTGTTCATCCCGGGGTCTTGCCATGCAAAGGATCTGCCATCCCTTTTTTTCCCCATTTATATCGCCAACTCAAAGGTCGAATGAAGTATGCGAGTGAGAGTAAGGAAAGGATTCCAGAAACAAGAAAAAGGCAAGGAGGTGCACGGTGCGTGTTTTGGTTCAGACTATTCACCCGATATCCTTCATTCGACTCGGGATCTTGCCGTGAAAGAAATGACTTTTTTTTTTTTGGCCATTCCTGAGGGCTCAAAGTCCAATGGCAGCTCTCAAAACCTCATGTCAGCAACGGCCTCAGGGTCAGCTAAACAGTGAGTAACCTGGTGAGAACCCCAACTAGGAGAAACTCGATAGACACTAGTAACTTGTGTGTTCCACGAGCAGTAGGACCAGTCGTACAGTGTCCTCCCTAGGAGGCTGTATGTTGTAGGTCGGGATGTGAGGCAGAACCCGGAACGAGTCGAAGAGGGTGTGATATCCACTCAGGTATACAACCCGGGGCATGGATACAACCTGTAGTATGATGTGAAGGAAGCGGGGCAGGGTGGAGACAATGCCTATGTCAAGCCAAGGTAGAAGCCTGAGATTAGATGAGGTACATGGAGATTCTACCATGCTTATATAGGCTTCTAATAAATTAAAGTGATCGCAGTCAATCGCAATCAGTTCCTGTACTATAGCATTAAGGAGCATAAATGCTGATGCTCCTGGACTCCTCTGTGTTGGTTTCTGTGGTGTCAGTGGACCTAAGAGACCCGATGTTCAGGTTTCCTAGTCCTAAGTGTCATCGTATCCAGTGGTTCAAACCCCGATCGGGTTTGCAACCACTCCTGTACTTCGTGTACACTTCTGTGTCAGCCCTTAGTGCGTCTGGGGACTAGGATCTGCCTGTACGGGTTCCTAGTCCCTAACATCTTCTGTATCCCGTGGCGCAGACTCCCCGTGGCGCAGACTCCCCGAGTCTGCGGTTTTAGAATCCGAGGCCGGGTTTCAACTGTGAGAAGGTCACGTGGTGGCGTCATGAGAGTCCCGTGCCGCTAAGATGCGTCTGTATCCATACGGACGCGTTGCGCGAAAAAGTAGAACCCAGGCAATTCATGACATCACCCCCCCTCTTCAAGGTCGTTGTCCTCAACGACCCATAGGTACCGCGTCCCCA